CAATTGCATAAATTCTTTCTACTTCTTCATAAATATCATCCTTGCACTTGCACACAGTTATTTACCAATTTTTGTCATAAATATCAGCCGAGCACCTACAATTATTTGCCTCTTTTTGTTATGAATAGCATCCATGCATAGTTAGTTACCAATTCTTATCAAAAAATATATTTTCACACTTGCAAAAAAATCGTCTATAAAATATATTTTTTCGTTTTGTACCACATTTGGTTACGAATGAACCGATTTTTTCTGTAAGAGGATAGTGATAATAGCAAATGAATCGCTATTTTCGCTGCGAATAAAAGCTTTTTTTTAAAGAATCCTCACCATTACTTAGTTAGATTCACTCCATTAGCTCGTCGCACTAGACAAATATACCAGGAAGTCCTTTGGCGATAGATATGCAAGTGAGTCGCCAGCATTACCTAGTTTTTTGGACAAGTTAGGCCTTGAGCCGAAGCAATTTCTGTATCTTGTGAATAATTAATTTATCGCAAAAGGCGAAATCTGGCTGATGAGGATCTTGCCATATCTCTAATCATATTACGAGGAGATTATCGCACTATAATTAGGGAAGCTAGCCAAAAATAAATTGGGTGCATGATTTTAAAAATTACAGGAAGAAAAAGAAGTACAGCTTGAAGTTGACTGGTTTCTTAGAATATCGCACTGAGCATCTTCGTTCGGCTCTTGCATCTGGAAAAGTTTTTCAAAAAAAATTTAAAAGCTATTGAAAATTCTCTTATATTTCCACTAACTGTCTTATTATCGCATCGCCAACATATAATTGGTCGAGCTTAACCAGAAATAGTGAGCGCTTACCAGTTTTACTTATTCGCTCATTTGATATGTCGCTTATTATCATTTATATAGCTGCGATATACTTATCAATTATCGCCATTTCAATGATACATAAATAATCCAACTTCATTGATATATTTAGGAAGAATTTTCGGGTAATATTTACCAATTTTCATTTCGAAGTTATAGGATTAATTGAAGCCTACAATATTGTTGTTGGCCAACATGTTTCATTCAATAATCATTTATCACTATAGCGTCAGTGAAGTTGAAAATGATTTATAAGCGATGAAATAAGTAGTGGGAGTAAACATATTATTAGAAGCGAACTTCGTATATTATTGTGGACTCATCTATTCTTTTATCCTCAGATGAGTCCCTTAATGCCTAATGGCACCAGCCAAAGTAGAAATGATAAATGGATACTGTTAAAAGGCGAAATTGATAAATTCATAAACATTGAAAAACTTCGCATAGAAGAATGAGAAAATATATTCATATTTCATGGATAAGTATTCTTTTTGAACAAATTTCTTAATAAATAAATGAATTTCTTCATTTTTACATTCATTTTTAATAATACTGATTGTAAATTACTGGATAAGTACAACTGTAACCTTATCAGCAAATAATTTTTAGGCCGATACACAGAAATTATTTGTAATTTTTGTGACGCAGAGTGGCAAAATTGATTTATATCCAATTTAATTTGTGGTTCTTCGGTTATTTGGCTGTGAAAAAAATGTGTAAATTTGGCTGCAATTTTTCGACCTAAAATTCTAACTTTTGTTTTTCACCAAGGTTTTTCATTTATTTATGCGAATTATTGTAGCCTTATATAAGCAATAATTTGACTTTCTAATTTAAATATTGGTGGTTAATGTTTAATAAATTTTCTCGATAAATCTCAAACTCTGTGCCATTTTTAATAAAACCAGTTTATTCAATATAATTAGCAGTGAAGTATGAATTTTCTTTGAAAAAAATTCATAAAAAAATGTAGTACTAGTAAAATCACATTTAATTTTTTTATTGTCGCTTATGCAACAAGAAATTTCTAAATTTCTATTAAATTAGTTAAGGAAAGGAAATTGAATGGAAGAACCGGAAAGACCACCAAAGAATCCCAATTCTCACCTTGATTTGGTTTTTGTGGAACATTTACATCTGTGAAAGAGTAGACATAAAATTTGAACCATGCTGCTTACCTTCAATGGAACCATAATTCATTTTTATAATTATACAAAAATCCATCATAAAGCCATCCATTTGGCAATCTCCCAATCGAATCAACGAACAAATTATACAATTTGAAATTTTAAATAATATTTGCTTCTATTTATATTTATTGTAATATTAATTATATTTATTTAAGATTGAATATTTATTTTAAAATTTCAAATTATCTAACTTTACTCATTGGCTCAACGGAGCTGAATAGATGGTGGCCCAGTCTCTTATATTGCCAATGACAGTGGTATGAACTTGCTATAGAAAAATTAGCCTCAAGCAAAAATTCACAATACTAATAGTTAACGAGAACAGTAATATAAATAGTTAGCCTACTTATCTACTTAGTTACCTTATACCTTACCTATTTTCATGTTTTATCGTTAATAGTTTCATCATTACTTGCATATAACTTTTGTGGATACGATTGATGTTCGATTCTGCTTCGTCATTCGTTAATTTACGCATGGAAATCGCATGAAAATTATTTTAAATGCATATTAAACTTGCTGATAAAGTTTTTATGATTCAATAAATCTTTTATTTTCGTTTAGCTTTATTTCAGCAATAACCTTGCTTTTTGCTCGACGATTGCCCATAAGTTTTGTCATAATTTTTATTTTATTTTTATTTCTTTTCGTTAATGCGTATGTTTGCAAATAAACTCGTACTTATATTTTTAATTGGTTTTTTTACATTTTCTTAAAACGATCTTTTTTCTCTATTTTTATTATTTTTTGTTAATTTTTAGCACAAATATAATCGAGTCACTTTTTAAATTATTATCCAAACGTCGAACATTAATGTCCTTTTTCGCATTTATTTCCAGAGCGAAATATTTGGCTAAGGAATGTTTTCCAGGCTTTTGTGTCATTTGAACCATTAGTTATTAAGCCTCAAGTACATTCGTGCTAAGTGCTAATGTACTTTTTATTTATAAAACCTGGTGAACTTAACAAATGATGCGAAAGTCGCTGTCCTTGCTTTGCCAAAATAAATCTCATACTCATGCACTTCATTAGATTATAGATATAATTGACAAATTTCATGCGAAATAGGTGGGAAAATCTATTTGCACTCTTAAAAAATGGTCCCACACCTTTCTTTAGATACTGTAAATTGCAGATGTTCTTAAAGAAAAATTCAAAAGGTGGATTTTGATAAATCGAAAATTGCCAGTAATTTCGATCTTCTTTAAGAAACTGTTTTATTTTAAATTTTAAAAAATTATCGCAAAAAATCATCGAAAAAGAATGACAGTATATATATGAAGAAACTGGAAACATTTGGTACTTTCTCATATGAATATATTTTGGTTGGTTTTCTACCCTGTAGCACCGAGCTGTGTCTGAGTCTTGATACATACACGATCGGTTACCGGGTGCATGACCAACTTATTGTCGAATCTTTTCTCAATAATCGGTTAATTTTGAATTTTATATATTTTTATATATTTTTAATAAGTGTATAAATGTTTAGTTCATCTCCTTCAGTTTTCGGTAAATAATTTTTATTATTAATCTCCTTAACAATTAAGGTGAAAAGAGTCTTTGAATTTATCAGAAATGATGCGACCTAGGAATAAAAGTAATCATCGATTTGATAAATATTAATAGAAGGTGATCACTTATAAATTTCATTATCATCCATTTCCTGCGCCAAAATATGATAAATAAAAAAAAATCCATTAAGTTCTGTTCCAAAGTTTTTGCAAAACAGCTCTCCTTTCCAGATTTCATTCATCCAATTTTTCTGGTAATGCTCAATGTGCTGGTTTGTCAGACTGGACAGATCTTAGCATAGAATCACATGACGATAGAAATTTGGGTGAGCTTCCAGCAGCACTCGGATCATATTCCTGGAAGGCACCTTCACTACTGCCAAGAATAGAGCTCCAGCACCAGCGTTCCTAAACGAGAGCAGTAATCCACTGACCCAGTTCCACACCCCATTTCTAAACTTTTTCGGCTAATTTAATCTTATTTAATTAAAAATGAAATTCAATTCATATTTTTAGAATTATTTTTTTTTTCCGGCGAATTGTCCGTTGATATTTCAATTCATATCAAAGTTGATAATAATATAAGATTGATGTTCTACCTCGATGGCATTGTCGCCTTTTATTGGGTCGTTCACGATTTTTCAAAAATTCATTATAATAGTCTTTCCGAAACAAATAAATCACTTGACAGCAAAAAAGAAGCCGACGATTATACTGATCGTCTCGAATCGAACCAGGCAAGCAAGTCCTATTACATTTGATTTATACTATCATTAAGCCAATCGAGCAACTTTCTTCTCTCTTAATTTCCTTATGAGAACGTCTTAAATCGTATTTTGTGAAAACTTTTCGAAGATTTCAAAAATTAGCTTACAGTAAAAAAGCGATGAAAATATAAATCTTGCAATGATTATTGATGTATAAGAAAAAAGTTGCGTTGTTCTTCGTGAATCCCTACTAAAGGTTTTTTCTTATTCTCAATCATAAACATAGATTTTTTCATGTAGATAAATGTGGGAATTGATTTGCCAATCATAATATCGTTGTTATGAATTTTTATGTTCCCGGTTTTTCGGCATTTTTTCCCTGTTAATAATTATTGGTAGCTAAACTAGTTGCACAGTTCGTTTTTTCTCTTTTGAAAGTATACAACGTCTCTCGTTCGGCTGGTTCCATTGATTGATATGACGAGACTCCATCAGTAGAGAATTACTTGAAGATAGATGTGTAGGTAACTATCGCCACCAATCATCCGATATCCAATGGATAAATGAAAAAACATTATAATTTGTATAAAACTATATGAAACAAGTACTGCAAGATTCAAAATTTATTCAGAAATTTCTTAATTATAAATTTTATGAAATAGTTCGATAACTGTGATAATTTAACTGTGATAATTTAATTTTGAAATATTTGCAAACGAATTTTAAGCCTTTTTTTGCTTGAAATTCAAAATTTAGAACTAGTTCATCCAATCAAGATGATCATGAGAAGGTGTCGGATTCATGAAAGACAATAAACATTTATCAATACCATTTATCACTAAAACAAAATGCAAACACGAATATTACTTTATTTTATTTTCTCATCGTATTTTCAAATTTTCTTTCCTTAACACTAATTGAATTTTAATAGATTTTCTTTGCCTACTGAGACTTATAAACAGCAAGCAAGGAGAAAAATTAAGATTTTGAAGAAGTCGAAGGACTAGTTTTTAAGTGCAAAAAAAATCTTCAAAGACTACCGAATGAAAAATTTATCGAATTTCTGCTTTCAAAGGCACCCATAAGATATAATTTATAAATGAATGAAAAATTAAAACACCACAAAAAAAATAATTACAAATGTTAAGATTAAGAACAAAACAATTAAAACTCTAGTCCGTAACAATGAACCCATTCAACAGATTCTGCCAGCTCACTGCTCTCGCTGTATTCGCATCCGATATCCCAAATACCATATCGTTTTAAAATTTCAAAAACGTACTGATAATTTATTTCGCCATTAGAATTAGGTTCATTACGACCAGGGACTTGAGCGACTTGAACATGACCTGGACCATGAAACTGATAAATCCATTGAATAATAATACTATTTTATCTAATAAAATGTAATACAAAATTTTCCTACTAACCTATGAAATTCGATAACGTCGTAATGGTATTTGTAAGTTTCCCACAAATTTGTTGAGCATGAAATATGTCCTAAAACAAAATAATAATTATAAGAAAATAATGCTCTGAAATGAACTGTACAAAACAAAAAATGACCTTTCTCTCCGAATATATGTGGTTGTAAAAAATGAATCCATTTGTTTCGTCTCCATAATAAATCCACTTAGGTAAAAATATTGTAAAATCTATCTATTTATCAAAGCAAAAGGTTTAATATAAAGGGAATGAGCATTACGTTTCTGATAATTTAGCGAATAGTATTTTAATTCGTTTCATTCGTTTCGAGCTTTAAATACAAAAATATCGAAAAACTTGAATTTGAAAAAACTTGAAAAAAATTGAATGGAATTTATTGGAGCTTTTTTCTTTATAAAAAATATTGTGGTTAGGTAATTTATAAACTAAAAATCTAAATCTAAAATTTAAAAAAATGACACAAAGGGTTATTATTGCATCTAATTCGTATTTATTACCAACTTACCAACGTTATCCTCAAATTTGGATGGCCAATTCGTTGCAATATTTCTACAGCTATAAATTGTACAAATTAAATAAAAGCAACTTCACACAAATATAACAATATTATTATATTATATTAAATTTATATTAAGTTCAATTATATTAAATTTCGGCTAAAAAATACGAAATTGAAATTGAAATAAAATAGAACCTTGAGCGTATGATCCAAGAAAATAATTCGGAATCGTAATTTGGTTAATTGGTTCAATAAGACACATAATTCCATGCTGGAAAAAAATGCTATAATTTCTTGAAAAATAAAAATATAATAAAATAAAAATATCCAGAATGACCAGCAGAAAAAAATAAATAATTTCGAATATTAGAGACTAGAGACTTTTTTAGAGCAAAAATATTTTTAAAACATCCTAAAGCCATTTTCTAAATAAAAAATACCTCAGCTAAAGCACCGCATGCATAGGCAATATTTTCCATATAAGTTGTCATTGATTCATCATTGATTTCAGTTACACCAGCCATAATATGAACCTAAAAAAACATATAACCATTATCTCAGCTCTAATCACATTCAGTTGCTGCAAAATGATGGATTCTCGAAAAGTTGGAAAAAAAGACGGAACAGTGGGTGCGAAATTCATAAAAATCAAGGAATCAAAATCATCAATTATAGTTGTAACAGTTGTTTATCTAACATCATCAAAATATCAAAAAGCTATTCATATATAAGATGGCTACACAAAATATTTCCTCACTGGTAATCATCATCGCTCATTCATTTTCTTTGTGAAAATATTTTTAATGTCCGATTTGGCTGGTTTCCCTGACTATTAAAAATTAATCCACTTGTCCTTGAATAGGTATAAATGTAAGAGGATTGTTAACAGCCACCAAGCACTGATCTTATCAATATATTTTAAAAATAATTAAATAAAAACTTTTATAACAGAAAAAATTTTTTAAATTATAAAAAATTATATTAAAAATTATAAAAAAGAAGCATAAATCTTAAATAAATCAAAAAAAAAAGACTAAACTTTTTGCATTCAAGAATATTAGCATATTCTATTGCAGTTGTTATGCTGTCAGGGAAGTCCGACTGGCACGAAGGTAAAGCAGCGATACCACGGAAACCAGACGACCAATCACCTTAAACAATAAAAATTAAAAAATATGCATCAATATTGAAAATAATTGACAAATAACATAAATTAGATTCATAAAAAATCTATTTCTTTCCCTTTTTTGTGAAATATTTGTGGTTAAAACTTTGTAAATTCATGTTTATCCAATTTTTCTAAAACCAAAATTGGTAGATTGAATGAATTTAGATAAGAATTTTCCACTTAAATAATACAATATAATATTATTAATTATATTACTGTTAATATACTGCATTAATATATTATATTAATATATACTATTAATATTAGTATTATTGTAATTATAATTATAATAGCATAAATATTAATTTAAAACAGCATACTATTATATGAAGCAGTTAAAAGAAAATTAAAGAAAATTTCTAAATTTAAAAATACAATAAAGAATTGAAATAAAAGAAAAAGAAACAGTTAAAGGACCATAAAGAATACGGAATTCTGAAACAGCAACTGAAGAGTACCATTTAACCTTGTATATTCAAATTCAAGCCTGAATATTTGAAACGACTCAATTAAATACAGTCATACAAAATTTTATGCGTAACAATATCAATTTTTGCTTAATTCTCCTCAACCTAATCTAATGACCCTACGCTATATAGCTCCAAATTTAGTTCATGGAACTGTTTCAATTGAGATAGTTAGAAATCAATCAATAATTTTAATTTTAATAACTTCTATAATCAACAGAAATTTTTTATACTCCACTGCAAACAAATAAATGCTCTGCACATTTTAAGAAAGAAAATTTCCGCATTATTTTTCAGTAATAATTTCGTAAAATTCAATATATTAGACCTTCTTTACTATCGTCCAGTAGTGAAAATCCAAATATTCATCTATAAAAATAATAACATCTAATAGATTAGACATAAATATAAGGGAAGAACTTGTTACCTAAATTAATATTCCACTCTTCACTGGGTAAAATTTATCGCCTTTCATGAAATTATTCTGGTAAGATTGTATTGCAATGGGTATAAACGGTTTTTTTTAGTGTAAATTTTATGGTGATCACCATAAAAATAAACTTTTCAATTATATCCTTAATAATAATGAAGAGCTAAGGATCATTAAATATATTACAACACTGAGGTGGTCAATAGCCAGTCAGCCTTAACACATAAGCTCTTAGATAAACATAATAAATCCATATATTTTCAGTTGCACTATTTTTTTAGAATTTTGAAAATATTTCCCAACCAAAAAATGACTTCAGCTTGAATATTTATAATAATAAAATATGAAAATAATAATAAATAAATAATAAAAAATGACTAATATATAAAATAAAACTATAAAATAATTAATAAAATAATAATAATTGATATAATTAATAAAAAGGAAAAAATCTTTTTTTCTTATGAGATTCTTAAAAATCAATTAATGATTTATTAAAATCATAAATATTGAATAATTTATAAGAAATATTTTTCAAAAAAATGAAAAAAAAGGAACCGGCTGGAGCATTTATAAGAATGTGTTTTAATGAATGTCGATCGGCTTCTCGCTTCAATTCCTCAGCTTTAACCTCATATGGCAACGAAATTTCAACAAAACGAAATCCCAATTTCGCCGCTTTTTCATATCTTCAACTAGAAGAATTAAACAAAAAATTGCATTTTAGCTAACAGATTTATAATTTATAAGCTAAAACTCATTAAATAAAGAAAATTAACAAAATTATGAAAAGAATAGATAAAAGAGAAAAGAAATGATTCTAAGGAACCGAGAAAAACAAAAAGAATGTAGCCTAAGACAAAGATCTATAAGATTTATAATCCACCTAAACCTTAGAAGACCTAATAATAAGAGACAAAAAACCAACTGGAATTTGCGACTCAGTAGAATTCTAATATCTAAAGGAATATGCAACCATAGAACTCAAGTCGCTTGTGCAGACTTGCCGAATTCGAACCATTTAAATTTTACCAATTAATCACTTCACCACAGAAGGGAAAATAAGTCGCCAATATCAACCGAACTTTTCAAGTATGGCAAAAAACGATGTCAGGCCATGAGTATTGAAAATTTACTTTGGACGAGAATAGAACCCCAATACTGGCGCACCGAAATGACAGCAGCAACGCACTGAGCCATTCGTTGTTAAAGTAATTGTTACAAATTTAAAAAGAACAAATAAAAGAAATATTTTTAAGGAAAAAACCTTTTTATGAGTTCAACATTTTGAAACATCGTTGATAAATTTGCAACAACACGCATTTTCATTCTTTTATTTATTTATTTATTTTTGTTGTTTTAATAATTCTGAAAAAAAAATTTTGAAATATTAATAAATATGATTAATACATATTTATTTAATTAATTGAATAATTAATAAATATTTTAATAAATGGTAATTAATAAAACGGCAAAATAACTGCCAGCGAGAATCGAGACTTGGATTCGAATCTGGCGATGCACCACTCCCGGGCAGCAGTGCGCCTAATAGCGAAATTAAAGGAGAGTGGAATGGCTTAGTGGGTTGTTGCCAATTCGGAGCGTCGAGCTTGTGCACCCGCAGGAGTAAACCCGTCCAAAAATCCGGGTACTCTTGCGACTCACCTGTCCTACTTTCTATCTCCAAAGGACTTCGCGGCGTATTTGTCTACTGCCGCAGCGAGCCTAACCAGCAATGTTGAGCTCTTTAAAAAAATTAATACATAAATGCGTATATTTAAAATAAATATTAAAATAAATATTATATTTATTATTATTTAAATAAAAAAAATTTAATAAAAGTCGAAAAATTTTTAGAGAGATCAACGAGAATTTTATAAGAAAATCGAATGAAAGCAAAATAAATGCAAAATGGAAAAAAGCAAAATCATTATCGTCGTTTCATTATTTGTTGTAATAAGAAAAATAAATTTTCATTTAAATTTTATATTTTAATAAAATTTCAAAGATGAAAAAGTTTCAAATTTTCCTTCTAATTTTAGCAAAAAAAATTGCAAATTTTATTTAAATTAATTCAATTAAAATTAATTCGAAAAAAAATTTTTTCCAAAATTTTTATATTATAAAGCAGCCGCAAAAAACTATAGCGAAAGTATAGCAGAGAAGCTGATTTATAGTAAATGGTTTTTTAGCACTTAAATTATTTGGCTCATGGGAATTATGCATGTTAGCTAAGCAAACAAATTATCTAATGGATTTAATTTTGACATGGATTCGGTACTGATGATGAAATTGACGGCGCCATTAATAATGGCACTGATGGTGCAACCGATGGTGAAATTGGTGGTGACATTAATTGTGGTGATGGTGGTGTTTGAATCCGATTAGAATTATACATCGGATCGAGAATAGTTTAATGGTTCATCTCCTCTTTTAGCAAATCGCAATGTTTTTGTTTCAGGTACCATCTATGACTACCGGAGTGACCCTTTCACCATAGGTGCAAATCACTTGTTATGGTTTCTAATAACCGATGACCGGTTTATTGGTGTCAAATGACAGGAAATGAAATGAAACCAATCTTGGAACTTAAGAGTCGGCAAATTAGTTTCCATTACTAACCTATGTTAAATATTTAATAAATGGTATGTGAATAATATAAATGAAAAAAGAAGGAATGTGTGGTCAGATTTTTGAAGAGCGCTCACCATATGTAGTTAGGTTTGCTCAGCTGGATTGTCAAACCAGAGGCACATGGCGATTGAAGTACAAATGCTTCTACAGTATTGCTCCTGATTTTCAAGAAACCGATTTATTCCTACTGGCAGCAATATTTCAGTATCGGCGAAATATTTATAAGGCACTCTGAAACGGCTAGAAATTAACTGAAACCGCAACCGCATCTTTTCCTCTCAACTACTCTTATATATAAACCACCTATGCTTGGAAAACCTTCCCCGGCGGTGCCAATCCAAATCTTGAATAGGCTTTTTTCTGCTTATTCAACACAACTACAAATTAGGTATTTTTCATCATAGATAGATGAGATGATAGACACAATTTAACCAGCAAACCATGCATTATTAATTGTACCAATAATGAAGAGACTGGTGCTCATAAGGTGATTCTTTCCACAGATCGACAGTGCAGAATGTGCATCAGGGAAATAAATAATGATAGGTAACCAGTTGCCTGATATCTTCCACCATTAGCTTCAGCCAGGCGACAGCTGATGCACACTGCACTGCACACCGATGTAAAATATGCACAGATTCAACTATCTCTATTAAGCGTGCGGATTATCATAAATGTATCTGTAATTCTTCAAACCGTAGAAAAATTCTGAAATGGACCAAATTTTGCGATTTTATTAGTAAATTAGATGGAAAAGGTGCTATTAATGCAGATAAAAACTTTGAAAATATAAATTTTTCTCCATTAAAATAAGCAAATGAGTCTAAGTCTAAGCCCTAAGCCTATTTATACAAGAAAAGATTTATACAACACTAAAATTTCAGTGGTACCATATCAATGAAGGTGTGTGCTAGATTCTGTGCCAAATGCAAGAACCATTTTAAATCGATATTAAATGAAATATTATGGTACTAATCGCAATAAAAGCCTATATGCAGTTAAAAACTGGATGTCCAGTTATGATATCCCTTTCTCTTCCTCAAACAGCTTTATCATTCACCGTGCAGGCAACAAACTGCGAGGTCACCTAAGCGATCAGAATCTTTCATAATCCTATCAATTCTGTTCTCGACTGGATGCTCTTCGTTTTTGACGCCATTCACCAATTCACCAGAAGAGTTTTCTTAACATAATTTGCATATGAGGAAACACCTCATGTAAACTCTAAATAAATAAAATAATTTTTCTAATATTTTCTCACTTAAATTCGAGTTGCGCTGTAAACTGTGAAAGAATATTTCGAGAGTCGACCATATCCCAATGTATTTAAAAGGAGAAAAATTTTTTTTTAAATTTTTTAAAAATTTTTGAACATAGAAAAATTTTTAAATTTATTCATAGTCATTTAATTCATGAAGAAAAATCTTTATTAAATTTTTATTTTGCAAAATTTATTTCGAAAGAAAATTTCTCGCTCCTACAAAATTTTGTATTATAAAATGGCCACAAAAAAAGATTAGTAAAAAGCTTTTTTAACAAGAAAATTCACAGAATCTGCTTTTTCGACTGATTCGATGCTTTCCTTTTAATCTCCGTTCATCAATTCATTTCTGCCTTCATATTTAGAAAAAGGCAAAAGGAGTGGTTAAACCATGCAATAAATGCCACATTATAACAAGAAAATTTTTTTAAAGCCAATAAATTTTCCATTCTTTAAAAGTAATTTAAATTATATGAATAAAGGCAGAACGCTGGCGCTGAAACCTTTTTCACGGAGAGTAATAGCCACAGGTTAATCGGCATTTAGCTCTCATCACACTTGCATATGGTTCTATCCTGCATCGGATCTATAGTCTGATGATCTTTACTCATCTCGACAAGCTGGTCGCACTGTTATATTTTGATTTGCTGGAAAGTATCAGTATGCAATCATATCAGTAAGCAAGACTAACTAGACTTCAGTAACGGTGAATTATACAGTACGAAATAAAAGAAACTCAAATAAGTAGAGCGAAGCTCATTTCTTCCCCTTCATATCTGCGATATGTTTCACGACTTCAGAGGCCATATTCAAACTGAGCGCTGGAATCATTGGATTAGGAAGACAGTGATACATCCAAATAACCTAAACTAATTTCTTCGAGCTTCATGCTAATCTAGTAATACAGATGTAAATTTTTGATGGTACGGGTAAGTCTGAGTTCGCGAATTAGCCTTTCTATTTTCTGATGTTTTTAAAGCATTTTTTAATCAGTGTATTTTCTAAATGTCTTTTTTTGCATATTGAAAAATATAGCTCCCTAACGAGATTCGAGACCTAAAAAAGACAATTCTTACGGGTTCGAGTGAGATTGGATTGTTGCAGCAATACCACCTGCTGCTATTCCTTTGATTTCAAATATTGCATTGCAAGCAGGTGTGTCGATATGTGCACAAAGTTGCGGATCGACAGTTGGTCGTTGGCGAATCATTCCTGCATTTGGAACTCCTTTATTGCATTCAGCTATTGGCACGTCGTTACCGCCTTTTACGCCATGAAGGAGACAAACAATCCAATAAAAATGGAACAGCATTTTGGGAGAAAAAAATTCTAAAATGAGGTGTTAGCGCATCACACATACTTTTATGTACATTTCATTTCCTTTGGAATATGTGTGGTTGCCTTTACCTTTATGAGATCCATTATTTCTATCAGTTATTCTTATTTGTTCATCAGCGATGCCATTTATAGTTTCGTACTTCGAATTTATTTTGATTAATTCTCACAGTTCGTTATCATTCAACATGTGGGCAGATTTCGTTAATTTCCTTTTCCATTTTAAATCAGTTGCATTATGGTACTTATTCAAATAAAAACCTAGCTATATCCAATCTTTCTAAACAGTTGATCTTCTTCTTCACTTTTTCTATAGGCTTTACCATTCGCAACATAGGCAACATTTCACAAGACCATCTTTTATAATCGCAGCGCTTCTAGGCTGAACGCTTATCACTTTTCACGCCATTCTTCACAAAGCTTGTTGTTTTGCAAGTAAAACGGATAAAAAAAAACAGTTATTTTTCTCATATTTTACCGGTATAATTCTCATTTGAATTATTGCCTTGTGAACTCTGAAAAAAGATTTCAAATCGGCCTTGCCTCAATACAGTTTAAATAATTATTAATAGGAAGAGTGAAATTTTATTTAAAATTTTTTTGGAAAAAAAATTAATTTTTTGCCAATTTTTTCTTTCTCTAAAATCATTTCGAAAAAATTTTTTTTTCTAAACTTCTATATTATAAATATTCATAATAAAAAAATAAGCAGAAAATGTAATAGATTCGTAAATGCCTTTTCAATTAGCTAAGCAAACAAAAATCCGAGGTTTAATGGTAATTTGAAACCAAATTAGAACAAACATCGAATCGAAACTGGCACAACACCATTGGTCTTATCATTGCATCCTGGCAGCACTTGTCTTCTGGGGTCAAATTTGATTGCTAAAAGATGTAAGTAAAGATAAACTAGGGATGGATTTTAACAGCAGATTTCCTGTCAGCTGACAAGTATGAAATCCATATTGCCAAAAAAGGTGAATTAAATTTGAGTGAATTAAAGGCAACAATAAAAATTGTTAATTTGTTAGCCAAAAAAATAGTCTTTAAACATATTTTGGATAAATGACAAAAATTAAAAAATTTAAAAATA